TTCCTGCCCTTCTCTGCCTTTGCTACAATGGGGGAGGGTAGCTGGTGCTTTATGGGAGTCACCAATAACAAAGAGAGACATGAATGCTAATTTTGCCAGTTCTCAGAGTTGGTCAAAGAAGGTGTTTTAAATAGGCTAGATGTCACTCGCATGCTGCTACTCAAAGGAATTAATGGTTGGATTAAGTTTGCGAATATAAATTATAGGATTTCTAGCTTCACTTCACCATCATCCCTATCAAATTACTTTTGGTGCAGATTCAATGCCAGATGGCTCCTCAAATGTGTCAGATGTCCATGCAGAAAATTCATTTCAGGGTCACTTCTTTGTTTTGTTTCCTTGAAGACCCTATTGATTCCTGCTCCCCATGGAGAAGGATTTTATTGAGCTCTTGGGAAAGGGAATGCTGTTTAGAGGAGACTGCTGAAAGATCAAATCCCTGAAGAGCAAGCAGAAAACTGAGCCAAACCAGAAATGCAACATGGAAGAGTGAAAAAGATAGTGTTCCAATTTACATTCCTTTAAATTGGTTTAATGTTAATGAAACTCAATCAAGACTTAAGAATATGATAATAATTTGCACTAAGCATTGCCAGAAAAGTATAGAGGGGTCATAAGGCTTTATCTTGATGTTAAAATTTAAAGAATTGATTTAGTTAAACCAGGGAAAATGTCTGTGTGAATATTTACATGTGCTGGCTAAAATTGGCCATAGGAGTTTAGCTTGTGCTTGTAAAAAGAAAGTAATGAGGTAAGCTAAACTGATATAAGAGGTTTACATTGCATTAAGAGTGTTCATTCAGGGATTTGTAGAGTTTAACTAAATCATTTTAAAAATCTGAACTGTGTGTTTAGATCAAATGTTAGCATAAAGAAAGACTTGGGTATAAAATTTATTACACTGACCCCCGACTATGGGGGCCTCAGTCTAGGAGCAAATGGAAAAGGTAGTTTCTAAAATCATCTAATGTTGTTATCTGTAAATATTAACTGTCTGACTTTGAAGTGATTAACATGAACACTGATATTGCACTTCTCTGCCCTGCATTTTAATGGCTTTAGTTCTTTAGAGTTAGAGCAGCATCTTTCTCCGTTTGCATATTTGTGAGTATCCACATGCAAGGGCCTGCAAAGACACACTAGTCATTAAAGGACCATTAGAGCAAGAACTCAGAATTTGGAAGCTGCCTAGAGAGCAGGAATATTTAAATAATAGCAATAAGCATGCTGGAGACTTCAGAAGATTAAAGGATGCTGGAGTAATTCCAAGCAATAAATCTGATCTCTACATATACTGTAGCGAGTTTGACAGTGTCTGGAGCACACTGGAAGTCAATCTACCAGCATCAGTATTAGAACTCAGGATTAGAATTAGCTGAAAGGCTGGAAACTATCCTTAACATTTGCTTTCTTACCATATTGGATTTACACCTACTAAGTCTACTTAAGTCAGAAGCATTGCTGCCAATTTTGAAAGTTGTAGTTAAATAAGTTTTAATTATCTCCTGTTTCACTTTAAAATCTTTTTTTTTTAGAAAAGAATGTGCAATCTAATCCTTGTGAAAACAAGTTATATTTATATTTGTTATGGGATGTGGCTATTATTAAAGAATGTGTAACTAAATCTGGTTTCAGAAAAAAGACATATATATGTAAATAAAAGAAAAACTACTACCATTTCACTATTTATATTACTCCACAATTAGCTGTATCAATGATTGCCTTGACATTACATTAATTTTAATTTTGATTAAAAGTATTAAAACAACATTGCATTGAAATTTCCTCACCAAATATTATTTATCCCCTACTGCCTTTAAAAATTAGAACTTCTACTTAAATAAGAAACTTAAAAAAAACCTGTTAAAGGAACATTATTCATAATAAGCAAAATGATTTAGCCTGATGAGCTGACACAGTATGTATGCCCCACTACTAATAACACTGCACCAAGGATGCAGGGGCCATGTCTACAGAAGGAATATTAAAAAATAAAATCCTGCTGTCAGCAACTTCAGGAGGCCTGATATAGGCAGGATACTGTGACACCATTTCAAACACTGTGTAATTAGGCTTGTCCTCAGCAGGATTCAATCAACACGAAACTGGTTTTAGCAATAGCAGGCAGGACATTAGAGTGAAGTCATGTCTCTCTGCACTCTTCCTCCTCTCTAAAGACCTTTGCTCTGACCAGACTGCAATTGGCATATAAAAAGACCCTATGAAACAAGGGAATTTCATTATAATTAGGAACCATTTTTAGAGGTTTACCAATATTCAAACAGTAGTTGCATTATTCTTCATGTACAGTGTATAATATGCCTCTTCTGGAACAACTATTTTGTGCTGTGAAAGCAGATTAACAGTAATGCAGACTGCGCTATAGACCTATAAAACTGACTGCAAAGCAAAAATCCTCCAGAAAAGCAGCCTTAGAGCATTCAGTTAACATAATAAATCACAGCTGCTTGTTGTTATGGACTTTTTACTGATAAAAGTGTAGTCTTTCAAAATAAGAATTACAACCATGTTAGTCATAGAAGTACTAAAAAAAACAACTAAAACTTTTAAATTTCTCTTTATTTTCTTCTTCTTGCTCCCTTAAGTGCTTTTATGTGATTTTAGTTAAAGACTGAAGTATACGTGATCAATTGCTGGACACCGATGAAGTCACTATATATTTGGAATTCTATATATAGATAGGAGCTGGTGTTCTACTTACACCACAGCTCTTAAAAAGGATACTGCCTGGATTTGAACCAAATGGGACATGGCATACTCTTAATGGGGTGTTTGAAGCTGGTTAAAATCCAGCTTCTTTTGGTGTTTTGGGTGGGTTGTTGTTGTTGTTGTTTTTTCATTGCTGGCTTAAGAAATGCTGCCAGTACAGTTGTCTGGAACTAAATTAATCAAGTTACGTAAATTAAAGTGGAGTGGAAAACCTGAAATAAAGACACAGTACACAGTGTTGAGATTATAGCTCAACTGCTTCATTTTGTTAGTATTCAGTCACCCCTGAATCAAATGCCAAATTCTTTAGAGAGCATGTGTGAGTCAGGCATCTGAAATTAGAATTAGACAAAAAGGATGCTTACAGCATAATGCAATGTATAAAGAATGCTATGAGACATGTTGAGGAACCTGCAATGCTGACGCTGAGCAGGATACAGATCAGCAAAGCTAAAGGAGGTCCTTAGACAGACACACTGACATCACCGGGAATTTTGCATATACGTCACAGGGGACAATCTGGTCAATTCTGAGTTTCTCCTCCAGCATAACTTAAGGAATTGTTTCCAATATCTAAGATTAGAAGTCCTCCTCACCCAGCGCCGCCCACTGGATACTCCCATTTCTCTGTCCTGCCAGCAGTGGCAATCATTGCAAGGTTTTGTTTTTCGCTCTGCTCTGCTTCAGATGTCCAGCAAGCAGACTGGTGTAAAGTCCCAGGAGTAGCTACCAGAGGGGTAGAAGGAACTGACAAGCCTTGTGCAGCTACCACCCGTGGAAAAGGAGGAGGAAAGGGGCAGAAGCTTTAAGAGATAAGAATGTTTTGTCTTGGCCCAGTCTCCATGCTGCTGCTGAGGAAGCAGCAGCAGTGGCACTAGGTGGCTCTTAGCAGTTTGCCTCCAAGTATTTTCCAGTTAGAAGTCACTGGTTTTTAAGACCATCCAAGATCAAACTAAGAAATGAGGATTGGTGTGTCTCCTGTGCCATAGTTTGTAGAGTGGCTGTGAGAAACCTTGAAAGTACACGGACTACAAAACTATTAAAGTGTCCGGCTGTGTAGTTCCCTCCCCTCAGGAAGTCAGTCAAGCAGCCGCCTCTCTGTCTGCAATAAAGAAGCACTTTAGCGCAGGACTTTTCCCCTAAATTAATCTGGATAGGAATAAGGTGAGGCCATCTGAAAAATAGAAGCTCTTTAAGAACAGACAGAAGCACCGGCTTCTGTTTGAATCTGCCCTCCAGCTACTCAGTGCACAGCTCTCCACTGTGCTCACCATTAGTCACAGCCACCACCATATATAAATACCCAAATAAAAATGCAAAGAAGCAGAGTCTTTTTATTGCCCAGGACAAGCCATCCTTTGCCCTTGTGAAGAACATTTAATTCAAATGGAAGGAAGACAGTACAAGGACCACAGCTGATTTCCCAAAGAAATTCAAGGACAAAGCAGAAAGAAGGTCTATGTCCAATTCTAACTCTGTCCAGTTTTTCCCTAATTACCTTTAAAGGTAACTACAATGAGGCTATTTTGAGGATAAACAAATAAACACTACCACCAAAGCTTTTAGGAACGTTATGCCTGGAACAGAGGTGACACTCTGGAAAACTTTCGGCAGAGGATCCTGTCTCTGGACAAGAAGATGACTTCTCTGAGAAAGGCAGACAAAAAAGCAGGCTTATGTCCAATGAAAGATCCCAAATACAGCGGGCAAGGTTTTCTATAGGCACTTAGAGTGATAAAGGGATAGCCCTAAAGAAAAGGCATAGCCCTCACACTGCACCAATGTTCCCATAAACTGTTTGCTGTTGGAACAGTGACAATGGGAGGAGGATGCTCTCAGGGGTCAGGCACTAACACAAGGCTCAACCCCCTAGATTCATGCCATGAAAT